CACTTATCTTGGACAATTTCCAAAATAACACCCATACGATGTATAATTAATTATCAGTTATAATAACGACACAGAATGTAACAAATGCATTTATCATGTGTCATTACCAAATATCATTATAGCCTATTTTTGTTTTTCAAATAATTCTACTGTATCTATAGATAGTAAGCCAGGTTCAATATTTATGTCCATTTAATAATTTAATAATTTTAATGATTGTCAAAATAGAAAAAAATTGCTGGTATCGTAATTGATCTAATTAGTAGTTTTTTTTACATAATCTTTTCATTAAATTTACATATTTTGTTTAAAAATTTCGACGAGCTAGTCATACGTACTGACTATAATATTACCAAATAGAGAGGGCTATTATCCCTTAAACGTTAAAACCATATTTTTTGTAATTACTTAAAATTTTATTATTAAGATTATCATCTCATTTCTAAGCTAAAATAAAAATATATAACATATGGGGTTTTTGCCTTAAAAATGACCTTACGGGACTATGTAGATTTTATGAATAAAGACTAAAATTTCTAGCCATCTAATAATCCAATTCAAATAATTTTTTTTTTTTTATATTGTAGAACTCACTAAGCTCTATAAAATAAAAACAAGTTTATTTGAATTGGATTACCAAATAGCTAGAAATTTTAATTTTTATTCATAAAATCTACATAGTCCCATAAGGTCATTTTCAAGGTAAAGACCCCATATAATATATAAAATTAGTTTTAATGCAGTTAAAAATATTTAATTTTAACATAGTGTATAGTACACGGGTGTTGATTTGTCAAAACAATTTGCATAAAAAAAATTAAATGCTGATTAAGATTAGGGTAAGAGTGAATTTGTGATGAAGGTGAGAAAAGTAGTTTATACCAAAATTTCACAGAGAATTTTTTTTTATTAATATTCAAAAGGTGATTTTATAAGCAAAATCTTGGGTTATAAATGATTTTTTAATAATTTTGCGTTACACCTGATCGTGTAATCTGATTGGCTTTCTATATTACCCGTGTATATACACATAGTGTTCAAATAGAAATTACCTAATAAATATATTAATTGTAAAATTTTTTTTATAAATTTTTTTTAAAAAAATTTTAAATATAAATATATATATAACTTTTTGCTCTAATTGAAGTCAAAATTTTATTTTATTAATATTATTTTGAAAATCAATTTTACAATTCTGTTCTAAGATTATACTGTAGAAGTTTTTAAATTTTTAAGATTTTTAGTATATGGATTTTTTTTTATAGTTTAAAATAAACATTGCTATTTATTTTTAAATATATATTATTATATAAAATTTTTTAAATATTTAAATTTTAAGTTACAAACAACTATTTTGAATTTTTGACATACAGATTTGTATGTTAAATCTAATGGTTTAAAAGGTAAAAATATTGTTATATGGAGTGTTCTCTTTATAATTAATAATACAGTAATCTAATTGACTAAAAATAAATAGATTATAATTGTCTGGAGCATAGTGACAAACCATTAGTGTACATGCAAGGTGATATAAAAGTTACGTTTTTGATGCATTTGACCAAATATAGTTACCTTTTTGATGCATCCCCATAAAAAATTAAGATCATATCAAAAATGTAATTGAAAATTTTTTTGTCTGTCCGCGCGGTAACTAACACATGCATATTCACGCGTTTGGGACGATGGTTTTCTGCGGTGCTAAAAAATTCTGTGCATATAAAAAATAAATTCTGTGATGTGATGCAATTATGTGGTGTAAAATGACTAATTAAGTGTTAAAATGTGCCTAAATTTATGCGAACTTTATTGCCTAAATTAAACTACCCACTTTCTAAAATTAGATTTCTATGGTTAAATTATGTGGTCTTTTACAATTCACTACGTATTTTCTGTGGTATTCTGCGGTGTGTGAATTCTGTGGTATTATGTGAAGCACAGAAAATCATCGGCCCTGGTTTAATAAGATTACTATCATCATATGATACGCTCCAGACACACAATGCTACGCATTTTCCTAGTTATTATTTATATCTGGTCCTAATAATCACTTTCTTTTAAAGTTGTACCAATTATTAAAAAACTGTATTAATTAAATAATTAGAGAAATATTTCTTTCTACTTTTATAATTTATTATCAATATCAAAAAATTACTATATTTAAGATTCTTATAGCAAACTATAAATATTTAAATATCCAACAAATACAGTAAATAAGCACTTACTATTTTTTAGTTTTTAATTGTATTATAATAAACTTAACTATTTTATTTTTTTTATTTTTTTATTTTTTGCCTAAATATAAAATACAATTTCAAAGATTTAAATATAAGTTTGTTTTAATAAATAGAGAAAATTATACAATTTTTTTAATATTTTTAAATTACTTTTACATTTATTTGACTTATTTAAAAATATATTATGTTTTTATTTTAAAATAAGATCGCAAGTGGGATTTTGTAAGTGCGGGATTTTAGGTTCCGCATTGTAAAATTTAAGTGTTTAATCTAACCAGTCATTTATTGATAGGTTTAACATCTAATGTAGATAAAAAAAAATAAATTAGAAATAAATAGCTCATTATGCAGAACTCGTTGAAGCAATTTAATTCATTACAGATTTAGCTCAAAATTCCCGCATAATTATGTAATACTGTATAGTACTGTAATAACGATAATATCTAGCTTCTGAACTTAGCGTTACTTATCTCACTTCAATTTCTCTAACTTTAAGAAGGCAATTTTTTATCGCTGTTGATGAATAAACTGTTAATTTACTATTTTAATAGAATAGAATTGTTCGAAATGGAACAAGAATTAAGGTTCAGCTTTCTTAGCACAGCAAAGTAAAATTAGTACAGAGAGACCTCTCTAAATGCACCCTCTATAAATGCGTCTTATATGCAAAATCTCTTTAAATGCACATTATAGTCTGGCCCAGTTTATAACAGCACTATATATTTTGTTCACTATAAATGCACGCCCTCTCTAAGTACACATTTTTGAATTTTTTTTTACTATGGTCCCGAGGGGGTGCATTTAGGGAGGTCTCTCTGTAAATGAAGGCACGAAAGAAAAAGCAAATAAAAAAAAAAAGAACCTACAATTTTATAAAAATTCTGAAAATCGTTCATTGTTTAATTTACGTACAGTACGTACGTACGTACCTATTATGCTAATATTGTACCATCTAGGCACTAATTTGTACGTACGTAAACATTGGATACGTCTCTCATCGAGGGTGTGTTACTAAATCAATGAAATGCAACTATGGGTATTCTGTCCCTTCCGTTTTCGAGCTATACCAGATTATCTTCTAAATTCTATTGTCTCTCCTGAAGGGTGGGATGAAAAAAACCAGACAGTTCTATTTGAAAAGAACCTTTAACCCTCTCTTTGATTACCACGCTAACAAGTGCTATACAAATGCAGCAGAGGCCTTTTTCGATTTTTAACAGCATCCTCCTGTTTTATGAACACAAAGTAAAATTTCTATAATTGGAAATTTTATTTTGTACGTATTCACAACGCAGAAAGATACTCTCCTCATGCAAATCCGGGCTACACTCGAAGCGCCCCGAAGCACTAAACAAGGTAGCTATACATCGTACGATAGATATACCTCGTGATCGATTCGAGACAAATGTTGTTCCGATATTTTCGTATCGGGCAGCTAATTAATGTTATTGTGGCGCGCCAACTGGTATGCATTTACACGCGTATATTTGCATTTTTTGGAGACAAGTTCGATAAGTTATAAAGACTTATCACACAGAAAAGTATTCCGAAATTAGAAATGCAAAAGAATACGTAATACGTAGAATATAATTTTTTTGGAAATATATATCATTATTCATATAGCCATATTAATCTTTGGAAAAAAATTTATTTAAGATTATACGGTATAATATATTCAATACTATATAGTTATTGGATGCGAAGCAGCCAATAACGGAAATTATTTGTAAAATAATTTCATTATCTGGCTGTGTAGCATACAATAACGGTATTATCCGTGGTTTACGACGATTGTGCTTGCTAAATAACTCGAGTTTTTTGGTAGTGATTACGTAAACTGCCAAATAACGAAGTTATTTTGGCAGATGACGTAATCACTGCCAAAATAACTCGAGTTATTTTGGCAGCACTATCATAGTAAACTGACGGATAATAAATGAATTATTCTGTATTAAATATATGTGTATTGTTATAGATTTCCATTACGATATTAATACGTAGTGCAAAAATACTTACAGATGGCAATCACGAGGCTAAAATTGCTGATTTTGGTATGCTTCATGAGTTCAGAGAACACAGACAGATTAGAATTTGAGATATCTGGCACCTGAGAAGTTTGAACTTAAGAAATTGTCACATGGTGATTTACTACCATATTATGTTAAAAGTAATATTTATAGGTAAATACATGCTAAAATTAATAATATTATTTTAATTTAATTAAATTTAATAATTTTGGTTTAATTTAATTAAATTTAATATTTTAGTTAGAAATTCTCTTATGGGAAATTGCTGAAGAGAAGGAGCTTGATACTAACCAAAAAATGGACTTGCAAGCTATTGAAGATCGTGATAAAGGGAAATTTTGTTATCTATTTTCTCCAGATGTATCTATAATTTGGCAGGAAATTGTATATGCAGGTATATACTTATTATTAATATTTTTATTTAATATTAATTATTAAATTCAAAATTATTTAATAATACTAATTTTCCATACATATTAATCATGATCCAGATTCCCGTCCACCAACTTCTAAAATATTCAAAGACTTCATTATCTTTATGATAATTATTATACATCAATATAAAGATGAAAAGAATAATTCACCATGTTTTTGATTATATTCTTTTGATTGATAGATCTAGATTTTGGCAAGTTACATTTTTTTGATTAAAAAAAATATCATTCATAATTAACGGTTTTTTAAATAAAATATAATAGTTGCGCCAATCGCTATTACATATAATAAATTCAATGTAAAAAAAACGGATGTGTTTTAATGAAGGATAAAATATATAATATTTATGGTTTTAATTCTCTATACAGTTTGACAATATACAGTATTAATAAAATCTTGATTGTTAGGAATTATAATTCGTGTTGTAATTTTTTTTAATACTACCAATAAATTCTTGTTTATATTGAGGTTTTTTTTTTTTGCTAACGCTTGCTCTTAATGTATTTATTTTGAAAGCCTATCTTATATTCGAACCTTTTTATATTTTTTGTTAAGATCTGTTGGATGGCAAGAACAATCTTCTTCAGTAATACCAAATACACCAAACATATTTGCATGATTCAAACGAAAACTTAATTTTAAATATGTTGACATCGTAGTATTTTTCAGAACTGCAGAATACTATCGCTATCGCTATGTATTAAAAATATTTAAAATTTGATCCAATCATCAATCTTGTGTGATCTTTGACTTTAAAAGTGATAATTTGATCATTAATCGTAAATTCTCATACAAGTTACCAGTTACCTATCAGTTTTTATATGTCTTAGTTTAGTGCTCTTATCAGCTTTTATATATAGTTATTTTTATAAGTACTCAATTATCATAGTATTCCGATTTTACATTTCGCTCATACATGTCCCAATA